TATTTTTTTAATTTATTTCTTTTATATAAAAATAAATAAGAAAAGTGTTTTTAAAAAGAAACAATAATTGTTGCTTATTTTATTAATTAAAAAATAAATGTTATTGAAGAAAATATATGAATTTTATTATTATAAAACATCAATTTTTTAAAATATTTATTTTTTTAAGTTGTTAAAAAGATTAGTGAAAAAAATTTTAAAAAGTAATTTATTAAAAATAAACAAATATTTTTATACAATATTTAAATAATATTTTACACCTAATTTGTAAAAATAATTTTTATTTTATTATTTTGAAATTGATTCTTTAGGATTTTTAACTAATAAAAAATTGCTTATAATTTTATATATTTATTGTATATCAAATAAATTTTATAAATTTGATGTATTTTACCAGTTTTTATTATTTAATTTTGTAAAACAATATTGTGATATCAAGGTATGAGAACTATTCATCATCTGAATGATTATCAAAAAACGGTGTAATCATGCATTGATTAATGTTTACAGTGATTGACTTTCTCAATTAACTGGAAGTCGACGTTATGGCTAAGTTTTAGACAATATATCTCGGTGATCACCGCTTTGGACAGAGTAAAAGAATTATTGTAGTATGCACCGGCCACGAATAATAAAATGAGTTCTGTTGAATAATTGTAATTGACTATTCTGTTCGTGATATATCATTATGTCACGTGAAATGACAGGTTGTCAAGAACTTAACGAATACAGGATGTGTGGAGTGCAACGTAAACTTTATCTTTATTATTATCACTAAATTTGAAATCATCTCTTTATTAAAAATTACATTAATTAGCGACATCATTGTCTATATGTAAGGTCGTCCTCGGATTTTGTAATCAAATATAGAATAACAAATAATCCTCGTTATACCCAATAAAATACTTTACTTGCACATTATATTTTTATACCCTTCAATTCTGTACTTATTTTATTTGAAAAAATTCATTATTAATTGAAAATTCCATTGTTTGTATAAAATAACATCAATTTACATAAAACAAATTTTTACGTGAGTTACAGTAAAGTAAAGAATATAAATCAGATTAATTAATATACCGTATTTTTATTGACAAACAAGGAATGACGGAAGTTAAATTTTGATTGTGCTTTTTTTCTGTTGTAACTCGAAAACCTTATTTTTCCGGCTTACTAGAGTTTCCCATTTGGGGTTCCTCATTAATATTGTTAAATGAAAGACAAGCTGCGTACATCTCATTGTCGAAAGTTTGCATAATACTGTACGTACTGTGTAAACCCACACTGCGTACACACAAATCATAGCATTCATTGATTTATGAAAGTTTACTGTATGTAAAAAGTTAAGGTATAAGAAGAGCATGGTGACTGCCTATTCTTCGTATCCCTAGTGTCTATGTATTATCACTAGATCAGAGAAAGACTATATCCAATAACGCTTTAACGAATATGGCTTATGATCTCGAGCGAGAATAATTGTGCTACATCATAATTTACATACAGTATACTGTATGTTGGTAGCTTGCCTTTATTGAATACACGTGTAGATCGGGCGCTGCAGCACCTACTTACCGCGAGATAAGTTGATCTACACAAATACATATTCTTTATCATTACGAACACACTAATGGTGCGCGGAAATTCTCTTATTGAAGATTTGGGATTTTTGGTTAATAATCCTCAATACAGTGATTTGGAAATTAAATGCAAAGGTGATATCGTTCTTTATGGAAATCGTGCTATCCTCGCGGCTCGCTCCGAAGTATTTGATAGGATACTCTTTACAAGAACGACAGAAATTTGTGAAAGGCAAATTTCGTTTCCAAAAATTGAAGTGAAAACTATGAGTGTTATACTTAAATATTTATATACCGGATTAGTTCCCGAAAAGGATCTCACGACTGATAACGTCTTTGAAATTTTACAAGCTGCTGATTTCTTCCAATTGGAGAATATTCAAGATCTCGTTTCCGAATTTTACAAAAAGCAATGTGAGAAAGAGGGATATGAAAATAAATCACCCGAGTTGTTATCTGAAGCAGTTCGGCTAATGTCACCTTTGGCTAATAATGGAGTTATTCGTTATTTAGTTGATTCCGTTGCTAAAATTCCTTTGGATTCTATTGGATTTAATAGATTATCCCTTCAAGGTTTTCAATGTCTATTGTTACAGAAAGATGAAAAAAAAATATTCATGTCTAGTGAATATTCAGTTTTTCGATTTGCGGTTCTAACAGCTGCGACAAAAGTATCTCAAGAAGCATTTTCTGCTCTAGAGAAAGAATTACCGCCATGGAATGAAGTAGAAAGGTCACTTTATACAGTCAGTGATAATAAAATCAGAAAAGGAGAAATTAGCGAAGCGATTGTTAAGACTATGAATTCTTTCATGGAACATATTGACCTAAGAAGGATTGATGCCAAAATCATTGCAAAAATAATCGAACCACTAGATATCGTTCCGTCTAATAAGATGTTCGATTCGTATCGATTTCAAGCTTGTATGAAAACTCCACAACCAGCTTTTCATGGAACTAATGGTATTAAATGGGAAAGAAATATTGGTAGCCATTTAATTATTAGCGACGATGGATATACAGTTAGCGCATCTCAACATTGTAGTCATTATGGAAGTGTAAGAACTAATAATCTTATGAGTAGCGGTACTTACGAGCTTCACGTTCAATTCGGAAAAGACGATAATAATTCTTGGGTTGGCATTTGTGACGAAAGGCTCAAATTTTCCGCTTCCGCTGGATCTCAACCATACGGATGGGTTTTTGGCTCGAATGGGTACTGCAGTCATAATAATAATCAAATCTTAATAGCTAGAAATTTAGAATATGTTAATACAAAAATCATTGTGCATCTAAACATGGATAATAAGACAGTCGCATTCTCAGTCAATGGTAAAAGACATCCACCTATTACATCGTGGACAAATCTTTCGTCAAACCTTTATTTCGTTGCTTCACTCGGCTATCGTGGAAAGATTAGGATTTTGCCGATAGAAAGATAATTTAAAAAAAATCCGGCTTTCTATTCTTAATAAGTAGACTTCGCCATTTGGTTATAATCTATACGCTTTGTAATTATCTTCTAAGTAATGATCAAAAATAAAATTTAAATGCGAATAGCACTTTAATGATCTATGGAATAGTATTTGTTAAATATATTATCATCTCAAATAACAAGCTAAATTGCAAATCTTCAAAAAAACAATAATTTCACTTTTTATTTTTTTCACTTGAATGTGCAGACATTTTTGACCTCTAACTTTTACTTTGAAATTTCTAATTTTTTTTAATTTTTTTCTTTTTGTATCAAGTTTTTTTGATATTTATTTACTTCCAAATTTCTTATATACAGTACATTATAAAATAAATATTTAATATAAAACAATTATTATTAACTTCAATCATTCAGTTAGCCTAACATTAGAAAATTTTGATTATTAATTTATTCCATTGATTTTTTGTTTATATTAGTCATTTGACATTTATTCATGTATGATCAAGTATAGGATATAAATAAATAAATAAAAATCTTATTGAAAACTTATTCATAAAAAAATTTCAATTATTTTTAAATAACTTATTTTTTGATTTTTTGATTTTAAAAAATAGAAATCATATAAATACCATATTTCAATTGCTTAGTTATAAACAAAAAAATTTTTTTTTTTTTAAAAAAATATAATATAACTTACACTAGTCCAAATTGGGTTATTCGGCTGCCGAATTACAGCCAATTAAATCCAAATTTATTAATAAAAGTTTA